ATATATATATATATATATATATATATATATATATATATATATATATATATATATATATATATATCACAATCACACTGGCCGGCTTTATTTTTTGTCTTCGGGGGGAGAAAAAACTATATTGAACAATATTTTGACAAATTTTTACATTGTGTACTTTGTGAAATTTCAATAAAACATAACTTACAAAAATACTTTGTCACTGAACCATGCAGTAGTTCTGTATGCGTCACTTTTCTTCACATAAGTTGAGGATTTAGTTTCTATACAATAATGTAGCTTTTTTAAACATTCTGTACCAGTCATAGATAAACATTGAGCAGCAACATTTGGAGAACATATGATCTGATGCAATCTGCATATATCAGGAGATGATGTTGTTTAATAACAGAGCACAACTAAAAGGTAAAAGCTGCAGCACTAGAAAACATTTTCAGAGGATGTTCTGGCTGTTTACTCCCTGGTAAAGCCCACAGTCCTTGCTTTGGCATGAACTCTGCTTTCTGCTTTTATTTCAGCCCTAGTTTGTTGTTTTGTTTTAAATCAATAACTTAATTATTTGGCGATCTGAGGTAAAAAAAAAAAAAAGTGCTTCTACCGGAGAAACCTCTTGGTGAATGAACACAAATTTATCCTTGTCACCTGTTTACTTCCATTGGACCAATTTGTGTCATAGATTATCTTTGTTGAATAAATTCCCTAGTTAATGTATCTCTTCAATAACAATCACAAGAAATATTTTTTATTTAAGTTTTTTTTTTTTTATGCAGAGAACAGCAGTTTCCTTTTTACAATCATGCACTGTTACTGTGGATTCAGATTTTCAGTGCACATAAGCAGCCCACTCTTTTTTTTTTATTATAAAGAAGTTGCATATTTCTAGGTTTTATTGCTCTAAACAATGCGCTCTTTAATGAAAAGTCCAACCTTTGATTTTACCAGTAAAGTTTTTGTTTTTAATTAAATCTTTAGTGCCACTAGTGTAGTTTGGACATGGAATGACTCACCACTCGGGACAACATGGTGTCTTTGGGCGCACCACAGATAATATTGGCTGTTTAAGGCTCACTTAAGGAGGTATTCAGGATTTATTCCCTTTATCTGATGTGTATTTGATCAGCA